AACAAACAGCCTATTTGCAAATGATTCAAGGTCTATTTATGTTGCCATAAACAGACCTGTATAGCAGGAATTCCCATATTTATTTTGATATTTAATTTCCTTGCAAAACATGCCCAAAATATCCCGTGATACATAAAATATTCTTCTCTGTGAAACAAGCAGGGGAACAAGTAAAAACTGTGGTAAAGTTTGGTGTGTGAACTCTCATTAAAAAAGGCTTTTTGGTCATGAATTGGCAAAAGAGAAAACGTACAAAAAATGTAAGTGCCAAAACGGCAAGCAGTGCAGTTTAATGACCTGAAGGTGTAGTTTCTTTAAAGGACAGTTATCTTGACTTATTTACCTGTTTTTTTTACATTTTTGGTGCCTGGATCAGGGTTTAAATGGTCAAAATGAAGAAGATGGATTATAACGTTCTGTTGTATCTAAGAAACCTCATTGTCTTCACTGTACACAAGCCATTAATCCAAACCTACAAACTATCACAAAAACCTATATTTCTGTTATGTATGGGTAAAGAGAGAGGCAAAAGGCTAATCATTAGAATGAGCAGTGCTGATATGAAGATGGTATCTGAATACTAGAACTGCTGCCAGCTGTTATGCACAGAAATTAAAGTGTGACAGCGCTGTGACTGAATGAATGCAGCAGGAACAAATTGTTGGAACAACACCGTGAAGAAGAATCATCCTCCCTTCAGGACAAGAGAGTCCTCTGGAAGTGCCAGTGCCCAGCATACAAGTGTTACAATGCTTATTTGCTGGTATCCAGTTAAAAATATGACTAGGAGATTTTAACAAGATAAGAGGAAACATTGAATACTGTATGAGAGACTAAAATATCTAATGTTATGACCTATTTAGGACAATTGCAGTTTTTCCATTTCTTCTTGCTGGGTGTCATGTGATCAGCAGGCAGTGGAGCTCTGATATGAAAACGCCCAACTCAACACAAAGTACTGGGTGTTTACTGTGATTGATGATGTGGCTCTGTGGAAGCTGTTTGCTCTAATCTCTGCAGAGAACCTGCTCTGCTGGTCCTAAATGTACAAAAATCCTTTTAAATCACTGCCTTAACCTTTTAAAGTGCTTTTAATTATTTTTCTGACCTGCAGTTTTGGCCTTATGTACAAACTGAGGTTAATGAAAGTGCTTTTCTCAACCCATCTATTTATTCACTGCAGATTTCTGGTCGTGTATTGTCATCTCATTAGTTTGTGAGGTACTGCCATTCAGAAGAAAGTTGCCTAAAAATAGTGAAGATAAAACTGTTGGCTTTTGTTTTTGTTGTAAGACAGCGGTGGTCTGTGGCTAAACCATTCCCTTGTTCATGGTTGTTTTGTGGCTTCTTCAGTGCACCTGTTGTTACTTTGAGTTGCACCAAACTGATAAAATCGATGCACAATAGTTTCTGCATCTTCATTCTTCTGAGCAGAATTTTACATGCAGCTCAGTAACCAAGCAAATTTGAGTTGGAGTTGTATGTTCAGCTGAAGTGTGTGCTGCAATCCTTTTTATAAGAGGAAATGAGAGGCTGTGGTGGCTCCATAGATGTTATGATGGAAGTCCAGCTTGTTCTTGTCTCCTGTAGAAAAACAACCTATTATTGATTTGTAAAATGTGTTTTTGTCATGAGAATTCATGCGACCTGTGAGTTTTTTGTTAAAGGAGCTGCTGCGTTCTCCATTTCTGCAGTGAGTAGTGACACATTAACAGTGTTGAGTTATTTTTTTGCCCAGAGTTGAATTTACCTTCCTGAACTGTGACTGTTTCTACGTAATCTCCACACTGTCTCTCAAACAAACCTGCATGACCTTGCTGTGCTGTAAGATTACAGTACTTTGGGTAAACACTGCACAAAATGACAGAGGCCCCGTTTCTGCGTGGCAGAAACTGAAGGTTTCACACTGTGGTTTTGGTTTAGATTTATTCTTCATTCAGCTCCTGTCAAAACTACTGTGCTTTTTAATTAATGCAACACAGAGAGCAGTGGAAGCGACTTACAGTGACTGTACTATATTATTATGCATGGTTTGACCTAAGGAAATAGAAGAAATGTGATCCTGTGGAGCAGTGCAGTGTTAAAACAAGTGACCTACAAATTTATTGCACTGGTTTGTGATTTTTAAAATGAATGCATTCATCTTCTGACTGCTATATCCTGCTGTGTCCTACATATCTTTACAATATGAATCCCACAGTTTACTGAAAAATTCAGTTATAATAACAAAGTTAAATCCATGGTATTACAAGAAAAGTGATGTTGTTAAAGAATAATTTAAATGGAAAGCTATAGAAGATGGTGGCCACTGTCTCTAAAGAGCCAACCAATAGCCAAAACAGGAAACAGATGAGCCAATCTTTTGTTGCGCTTATGCATATGCAACAGAAGATGTTCATGACAGTTTCCACTGTATGGCGGGTATGTCTACATGCTATTGTGGCTAATATGGTAATTGGTTAGTACAAGTGAATGGTTTTTATATCCTAGTGACCATTAAAAGTACAGATATATATTTGACTTTGTGTACCTACCTAAGCAGACACAATACAATGATTTCTGCTTGAGGAGACTGTATCAGGAAATTGATGAGCCTGAGCTTTTGGTTCACAGGAATCATGTGTGTTCAAAATTCTTGAGCCATCCTTTATTTCTTTATAGAAAGGCGTAAAGGGAGAAAAGGTTGAAGTATGCCAAATTGCATAAGAACTGGACTGAAAATTAGTGGCAGCAGTCTTATGGGCCTGTTGCAATACCATCTTAAAAGCTTCTGATTGGTAACAGCTTCATTTTTCAGCATGGCAGTGATCCCAAACACTGCCAATGCAGTACAAGCATCACCTGAGTGGAAAAATGCACAGCTGAACACCATCAGTCATGAATTGACCTCCCCAGAGAACTGGACCTCAGCATTATTGAAGCATTGTGGGATCATCCTGACAGAACAGAACAAATGGCAGGCATCTGTTTTTCCTTTATTTTTGCACTTGATTATTTACTGCATTTACATTTATGTAAATGCATGTAAATATGCCCATTTCCCATTTTCTAGCAAAATGTAAAGAAATGATTGGCTTAAGACTGGTGCACAGTACTGTAGATGACTTTATTTGAAACGTTGGCCGTGTTTGATATGAACATCCACCACTGCAACTATACATGACAGGAAATAAGGTAATGGATAGTAGATGCACTCTAAACTGTTATTATGTTTGCCTGCTCTAATTTCTGTTTATTTCTTAAAGAAAATTGGATTTTCTGAATTTATTGAAGTTTATCTCATTGAAAGTACACAAATTTTAGCTTAAAGTTCTACCTGTAGCTAATGTTACAACTGATAGCAGTATAACCTTAACAAAACTGTATAGTCAACTACATGGTTGATTTTCAGGGTCTGACTGAAAATGTTTAATTTCCAGGCCTACTTGAAGACTTTGTTTGTTTGTTTGGTTTTTTTGTTTGTTTGTTTATTCCATCAGATTGTGATCTTTTCTTGGAACCTTGCAAACTGTAGTAAAGTAATTGTATCCTGTGCTTACACATCTCACTTGATTTGAGTGAAACGTTTCAATGCACTGTTTGGTGTTTTATTGGTCCATATATGTGAGTTTGAGATGTTATTAAAGTCAGACTTTATGTAACAGGATATTTTTGAGACTGGCCTCAAGGTGTTGTCTGCAAGCAAACAGTCGCATCAATCTCTGACTTTTCCTGTACTTTAAGGGAAATCCTCTCAGGCTTAATCATTGACTGTGTTTGATGTAATTGCAACAACCACACCACACTGATCCAACATACACGGCAGCCACTGCAGTGTGATTCAGTGCAAGTTCACTAAAAGTTAAAAACACATATGTGTTTGAGTGTTTTTCAGGCTGCAAGTGAAACTGATATTGAGTATGTGAATTTAATTAGTCAACTAATAATATTACTTAAAAAAAAAAAAAGGAAACCAGTTGTCTGCCATTTTGAAGTAACACATGGCAATATTTATTTGACTCTTAGGTTTCAGTTTTATTCCAGTATAGCAGGGTATTTAGGAATTTAGACAGTGTGATTTCATGTTTTTCCAAAAACAAACACACAAACAAAAGATATCCACTCATCTTCCTATAAAAGTATCACTGAGATACTGAGTATTGTTATTAGTGTATGTCACATAAAAGCCACCTGAGTGCAGTCTCTGATGGAGCATTTAGCTGAGCTCAGTGAGCTGTGAAACGTGTGAAAACAGGTTAACTATTAAAAATGGTAATAAAAAAAATACTAATACTACAATAATTATTCCTACTGCTACTACCGCTATTACTGCTACCACCACTACTAATAACTGACTGGCATTTTTTTCATACACTTGGTCATAACCAGGTTATTATATTTTCTTGTTAGTTTCCCCCTTCTATGGACTTTCCTGTCAACAAAGGTTTTGTTGCAGGCTGTAAACATGATTATTTATGTTGCAAAGTCTGTGCTAACTCACTTTAAAAGCCTGCCTTAAGTGGCCATTAGAGGGACTGCAGTTATTTTCTTCATGAATTGACTTCATTTTTCAGACCTGGAGGTTTTTGCTTGATTAAATTACATACATAAATATGTAATATATAAATGCTCACTTTTTATTTTTCCCCAGTTGCATAAATAACCTATGAACATAACCAAAGTTTTAGTCTGAAAAGTCTTACTTTTTTTCCCTTTGTCTTTTCCTCTGCTTTTCCCATCTAAAAATTGTTGCAAGGCTCAGTTGCTGAGTGGATATTTTTTTACATCAAGTGATTTATACCTGGTGAAATGTCAGAAAGGTGTGGGAAATGGACTCCTTGTTGCCAGTGACTTGGTCGTAATAGAATTAGTGTTTTATTCAAATGAGCTGAAAAACCGATGTCACAAGACTTTTCCAGGAACATTTTTTTTATTTTGGTCTCCGTGGTTACTCCATGTGTCTTTGCTCTTTGGTGTTTCTATGGTGACAAACTTTTTTCTCTCCTCTCTTCCTCTTTCAGTGTCATCCAGCCTCCGTTACCACTACCTATAGACAAGGTAAGAACAGAAGTATGTATGTGTGTGTGTGTGTTTTTGTTTGTGTTATCCTGTCCCATGTTATACTGTCTCTCACTCACTCACATGTAGGGCTACACCTCAGAGAAGCATCTAAGAGTGTGTGTTTGTATTTCTAACACACATTAGTGGTCTTTAAACACACAGAGTGGAGTTGGTCAGCTGACAGAGGAATGCAGAGATCCCTGCCAGTTGGTGCTGCAGCATTACAGAAATCCTTCATGTGCATCAAGAAGCAGGATTTTTTTTTTCTGCCACTGTACAGGCTGTGGTTTCAAATACATTTAGATGTTTGTCCACTCAAGTTTAAAAAGAAATTTGTTATGTTCTCAGAGCTAGGATGTGACCTCTCTAAACTGAAGTCCCACTGCTTTTGGAGATTAACTATTTGTTTGGATTCATAATTAGGGGTGGGTTCAGATGATCGATTTATCGATTAAAATCGATTCTGGCTTGGATAACGTGATATCGATTCATTAAAATCCTGAATCGATTTTTAAATATAAATTTATTTTGCCTGAAATGCCAGAATCTCAGGTTAAACCTCACAAAATTTCTACAACCACCAAACAGCTAAAACAGTAAATGAGAGCAGGTACACGGATTCTGCACAAAGACGTAAACACAAAACGCGGACCCAACACATCCGAATGAGTGAGATGTTGCCTTTCTCACCCGACGCACGTACGCGGACACGCCGTCGGGGCTGAAAGCCAACAGCTCACTGATTTTGAAGCGTTGGCGGGCGCTTTGTGTTTACGTCCTTTTTGCGCTAGATTCTGAAGCTGCAGGTTTTATCTCTCTCCAAACAATACTGACTGAACCAGCAGCCAAAGACGATCCAAACTACGCTTCACATTTCGCTTCACATAAACATCGCCACGAATTTCCTCTTACTTTTGCTGTTTTGCTTCCACCACGATAAAATCACAATTCATGTAGAGCTCTCTCTCTCTCTTTCTCTCTCTCAGGAATAGTTTCCCATCTAAAAATCTCTGGTTTTTTTGCATTATTCGCTTACTTATTACCCACCAGTCTATTAGTGACGGCTGCTGTTTTTTTTTTGTTGTTTGTTTTTTTTAAACTTACTTCCGACAACAAAGCCTCATTTCTGCTGTTCAATACTGAACAAATTTAAACTTAAACTTAAAATTACACAAAATTTCAAAATGCTTAGCTGTGTCTCTATTCAAACCTCTGTAACTTTGCTCTGCTTCAGTTCGTTTTTGACTGCACAATATTTTTAAGGTCATCTGCTATAAAAACCCAGAACAGGAAAACCGCCTTCATGTTTTTCTGTGTTTTATCCTCAGTTACTTTGACACAAAGGAATCTGCTGTGATGCTTACACCTTTGATAAAGTCTCACAAGTGTCAGCTTTCTTTTTATAGAAATAAAAAATATAGATATGTACTGATAAGTGATCAGAATTATAATATTTCTGACTGTCTGAGGCAAAATTTCCCCGATTTGAATCAAATCGAATCGAATCGTGGATCGAATCGATGTGGGACCTTGTGAATTGGAATTGAATCGATTCTAGAAATCAGTGACGATACCCAGCCCTATTCATAATGTTCATAAGAACTTAAAGTGCTTATACAGAAAAACCTTAGATTGCTTCCTTTTACTAAACTTATTACTAATGTGTGCAGTGATGTATAATTCAGAGTATTAGATTGGAATTGAAAGTTGAAAGTAAACTGTATAAATATAAACATTTTTATAGTATGTTTTTATGCCCCTGTGTTGCGCTGTAGATGGTCCTGTTGTGCTCATTGGTCAATCTAGCTCAGACAAATTCGCACTTTTATGAAAAGTTATCTGTAACCCCTCACTAGAAAGATCCGTTATTTGCAGCATTTCACATTTCAGTTATTAATTTGGAAATTCATATCTATGAAAATTGATTCTAGCTTTACCAAAGTCTGCATCAGCATGTGGCACACTTGTGACTTGCCTGACTCGACTTGCCATTGTTTATTTTAGTGTGCTTTGAAGTTTTACTTCTCCTGTGTCTTCACGATAAGGAGAGATGAAGGGGTGAATAAACAGCTAAGTTGCTGAGCTGTGCTGTGACTGCACACATGCCATGACTCCAGTTGTGTTTGGGTTAAATGGGATGGGTTAAAAAATGTTTTAATGTTTGAATTGTGTGTAAAAACTGCTTTTCACAGTTAATGTCCATAATCCACACAGCGGGACATTATCTTTTATACAGTTGCACGGTTTAAATTTGGGCCAGCTTTGGTGGGATTTGCAATTCTGCAAATCTAACACTCAAAATTTGGTGCAATGACGTACAAAGTTTTCCCAATCTACAGTAATATTGGTCATTCCTGTCATGCTTCTTGGAATCTGCCTCTCCATGTGGGGTGAATTTCCAAGCCAAATTAAAAGATGCTAAAATTTGCAACACTGAAAGCTGCTGTTCCAGGAAGTCTTACAAACCTACACAGACAGGCGTCAAAGAGCATGATTGAAGCCAAAAACAAAATACCCCGTACAATTTAAAGTACACTTTTTTTTGTTTTTCTACAAGTCAGGTGCTAAATTCAGTCATATAGACTTCTTTTAAAGTTCCAGAAGGAATTGAGGTTGATTCTTTAACCTCAATGTTGTAACATTGGGAAAATTCCTGTAATCGGGAAATTTGCTGTTAAGAGTTTAGCTGATAAATTGACTAGTACCAATGTATTGTATGTACACTACAAGATTATTTCTGCATATAAAAATATTGGAATTTATCAAGAGACTTTGAGCTTCCCACAAAGTAAAATCTTTAGATATATGAAAAGATTGATTTTAATCAGTGTTTTTTTGTTGTTGTTTTTTTTTAATAGTGGGATTTCCTTAGAATAAAGTTTTGTCTTTTTTATTTTGTTTTGGTTTTTTGCAAATAGTCATAAAATATCAGAAAAGTGCACAGATTTATGCTCAGTAAGGCAACACGGACCATTTTGAAAATGTAAAAACCTGTACTGGTATCAAGAAGTTCTTGTAATAAGGTATCAACCATTTGAAAAAGAAATAAAAAAAGAAATCAGTAGAAATTACGAGCTTTAGTTGCTGTGGTTTGTTTTACAGCTACTTTGCAATTAGTTGAATTAGTCCGCATGCAACAGCTGGCTCCCAGTGCTGTGTTCACACAAGGGATAATTTATCATGTAATTTGAATGAACGAGTAAATCTTTGTCATATCATAACGAACACCTTTCTATAGTTTCCTGTACCACACCACATGTGATCATATAGACACATGGTACTTTAACTAATTTTTTTAAACACATTATATAGATGTAATGTAACTCTGTGCCATACAGTGCAGTACCAGACTAATTGTTTACCCATAGTGTGTTGTACCAGGCTTCCTCTGTTGCCTCGCCCTGCTCTGATTCTTCCTCAGAACAGCAAAGACTCAGTATAACCTGTCTGAGGAATGTAGGCTGGTGTGTGAGCACGCCTGAGAGGAGCTATGATTACATTTGAGCCATTCTTAAACATAGTTAAGTGTTCTAAAGCAGGATCCTCACATCTCCCAGGTCTCAACACACATAGTCATATGGGTGTGTGTATAAATGTATTAAACCTTATGTAGGTTACAGCCACAAGTGTAAAAGGTGTTTTCCTCATTATGTTCTCATACTGGTAACAAACATAAAACATCGATAGCAAAGGGCATGCTGATTTGATTTGTACACATATATACAAGGATAAAAGAAAACCAGCTCACAGATCTATTATAAAAACCAACCAGCAGGAATAGCTGTGGACATACAAAGGTGACCATGTGGCTTTGATATTTCATGGTTAATCTGTTGTCTGACAACAGGAACATATTTATTATTTGCCTGTATTAAAATACTGTGTAAGTGTAAAGTCTGTGAGAAGCAAGCAGATGGAAATGGCTAACAGAAATCCAGCTGAGCGTAACACTAATGGACGCTATCAGTACTGCTCGTTATCAGTCACTCCTTAAAGTTTAATTTTCCACAGAGCTTTTTCCTGTGTACATGAAATCTTACTTCAGATGATTGGAGAACCTGAACATGTCAGTGTGGTTATTTGTAGGCTGTATTGAGTGTTTTCATCACTTTGCTTGCTATCACGCACCTATTTGAAATTTGACTAGATTTGTTTCGTTAAACAACAAAAAGAAAAGCAGTACTAGCTTTAACACTTTTTTGTGCTAAATATGTTTTGCTACTGGCAGTCAGTAGCAGATAGTTAGCATCCATTCTATGATACACAACTTAGCATTGACCCAGGCTTAAAGTGTGGAAAAGCATGGGGCTGTACTGCATGTAGGCCACCAGAAGTAATTTACAATAAATAGTTTTTCCCCTAGAAATTATACAACTTTAAAAAAAACCCAAACAGAACTAAGAAGAATACACTACATTATTCATTTTCTGACCCGTTTTTGATACTGAAGTTATTTGTCATTATCAGAGGGAAAGAGGTAAAAATTAAGTTGTGGCTACAACAGTAACAGTTGCATAGATGCATAGATAAATATTATTGACTGACAAACAGATATTGAAATGAAAGTTATTAACGGAGAGACGTTCAAAAAAATTCTGAAGCTCAAAGTGAATCAATGAAAGCAGAGAATTATATATTTCATGTCATGTTTTAATGATCAGAGATGTGGTTAGGCAGAAGTGGACCTGCACTGTTCCTGTGCTCTGTCTTCATGTATGTGTTTGTTGTTGTATGTTAAGGTCAGCTTACTCTTTAACCTTTGGTTTTTCAGCTGTTTGTTGTCTCCTTGCATTCAAACAAAAAGCTGAATGAGTCTCAGACAACTGTCAGCATGTTTTCATGGTTTGTGTTTGTGTTTGTTTTTTAGGTTGCAGCCAACACTCCCAGTATGTATTCTCAGGAACTGTTCCAGCTTTCCCAGTATCTACAGGTAACACACTGACACCTACTGGACATATTTGAGAACTACACTAACAATAATGAGTCTGAAATGTTATTGTGCTTCTCCTTACAAACACAGTTAAACTGGTGCTTGCTCACATACAAATAATCATGGTGAGCCATAAGTTCAGGCTTCTGACTGCTCTAAACAGCTGGTTTATGGCTGTTTTTGCACCATCTATATGATGCCATGCAGAGGGATATCCTTCATATAGTTATCAGGCTTGAAGGCTCCACCCACCTGCCGGTCAACCTTTGTGTTTACAAACAGCAGCCAATCAGAAGAATGCAGGCTTACTCTGTTACACCCCAAAGGACTAAAGTTATGAAGCTGGGAAATGAACAGAATAGGTCTGCTTTAACAAGACAACATTGGGTTCTGTGAAGACTTGACAGGAGTATTTCTTTGATGTGAGATTGATGTGAATTGTTATCTGATCAAAAAAATAGATTACATAATGAAAAGCAAACATCAGAGGTCATTACTAAAAACCAACTTTCTATAAAGCACAAAGAACTAAAATGAGGAATACATGTTTAAATTATTTCTAAAGAAAGAGTGAAAAAATCTGATTACTGATTACTGATTTTGTTTTTATTTTTTATTTTTATATTATCCATTTTTAGCTACAATCACTTAAGATTGTAGCTAAAAACGGAACCATGTATAATATTATCATAAATGTTGATGCACTGTACCAGAGTTAGCTTAGAACTAATTTGCATCCTCATTCCCTCGGAAGGTTCCAAGCAAAGATTACAATAAACCGCAAAGAAAAAGCAGCTAACTGAAGTTAACTGGTGCACTAATATTAGTGGATAAAAATCACATTGTCATAAATAACTGTGTAAGCTTTTGTTTGTCCTGAGTTATTTTTCACCGACGACCTCCCTCTCACTCTCTAGGAGGCCTTACACAGAGAGCAGATGTTGGAGCAGAAGTTAGCCACTCTGCAGCGTCTGTTAGCCACCACTCAGGAGGCCTCAGAGAGCAGCTGGCAGGTAGGAAATACCATGTTTCAGTCTTCATTTCTTCATTCTTCACAAGTTGAGGAACAAGTACAGCTGTGATCATGCTTTCTGGCAGTTCAGCATTCAGTCTTTTTAGTAACATATAAGTATAGTGTTTCCCACAAATCACAAATATGAGCACAACAAAATGAGGCACAGCGCTTTCATTGGTTATTTAATAATAGAGCCTATATAGAGTTGTGAACTTGGATTCACCTCGAGTTTGCAACATCATATCTAACTGCTCATATTTAATCAGGGTCATTTAGTACACTACGCTGCGATTAGTTAAGCTAATTTGTGTTGTTTTTCCATTATTTTCATCTATAGATGGTATCTAGTGTGATAAGGACTGCTGTAAACTAAGTGTGTGTCTCCTACAGGCATTGATTGATGAGGACCGTCTTCTCTCCAGGCTGGAGGTGATGGGCAGTCAGTTACAAGCTTACTCTAAGGTATACATACACATAAAATTAAATGGCTGCATACTTCTACAATGAATCAAAGCAAAGTTAAAATGATCATCGCATTTTAAAATTCTCTTTCAGTCCCAGACAGAGGAAGGGATCCGTAAGGAACTCTTGGCTCTTCAGGAGGACAAACACAACTACGAGACAACGGCAAAGGAGTCTCTGAGGAGAGTTCTGCAGGAGAAGATTGAGGTGGTCAGGAAGCTGTCAGAGGTGGAGGTACGATACACATGTGTATATGGTATGCACAGAATGAAACTAATTAAAATTTCTAAGGTTAACATTTGGTGCCATCTCTGCTATTGTGCAGCGCACGCTCAGTAACACCGAGGACGAGTGCACCCACCTGAAGGAGATGTCTGAAAGGAGTCAGGAGGAGCTGAGGGAGCTCGCCAACAAGTACAACGCGGCCGTTAATGAGATCAAAGAGCTCACTGACAAAATTAAGGTAAACGTCAAGGGAAAATTATTTATTTTCCTGCAGCATTACTTTATTTTAAAACAAGTTTTATTTAAATGTGTTTTTGGAGATATATTTAGAATAAAATTATCTACAAATTCAGTAGAGGGAATCTGTGCTCATTTTAAGCTCATTTTGTGTTTTATCCTTAGACTCTGCTAGAGCAGCTTTGCATTATTTATAGTTCAGAATAATCCTTATTTATCAAAAATGGGAGCTGTGTTTTATGTAGCATATGATCTTTTTTTCTATTTGCTTTCTCCCCATTTCCCTCCTTATTCCACTTTTTTTTACCCTTGTCTTTGTCCTCTTCTGTTCCTTCCTTTGGCTAACCTCTCTTACGTCCTTTTCTCCTCCTCCAGGCTGCAGAGGGAAGACAAGAGGAGCTCACTCAGCGGGGCGCGACAGAGAAGAGGGAGTGGGAACTACGGATTGAGGAAATGGAGGAGAAGGAGCAGGTTCTCCAGGCTCGCATCGAGGCTCTGCAGGCAGACAATGACTTCACCAATGAGAGGCTCGCTGCCCTGCAGGGTACAAACACATGCGCACACACTTCAATTCATGTGGCATTACACAGACTTGGACGCTTAATCCAGTCATACGGTTGCGTAAATCAAAGCTTGATCCCAAAATGTAATAAAAGCAACTGGACAGCAACTTCTCATTCAGGAGGAGCTCAGAGTTGATCTGCTACTTGCAATTAGACATCTGAGTGTATTTAGGCATCCGATTAGGATGTTGGATCTGTTTTGCAATAGTTAATGGAGAAAATGACAAAAAGTGTATTTTGACTAAATTGTGAGGAGGTCATATTACCGTAGTATGAGACAGGTGGCTGGTCAAAACAATTTATAACAAATGAAAGGTCTCCTTTTTACCTGTGCTTTGATAACATGCTCATCCTCTAGTCATAATCCTTTTTGCAGCTTGAAAAAAGGCCAACCCACTCGTGTACTTTGTGGTGCAGTAACTTAGAATATTTATAAAAATCATAGCCAATTTCAGTTTTGTACTGAATGACCTGGTTAAACTCATGATAGGTTGGCTACATTAAATGATGGTTTTTCAGTCACCTGGTGATCAATCTGCATCTTTACAACTATACACAGAACACACACAGTCCTATTTAACCCGCTGGCATAGTGATCCCTTTACGCCGGTCACTTTAACAACATAGCGCCTCTTGCGCAGGTCAGATCATGTCTTTGACCTGTGCTCGGACTTCCTGTCAGTCAACACTTCTCTCTGCTTTTGTTGTTGTTGTTGTTGTTGTTGTTTACAGTGCGGTTAGAACAGCTACAAGAGAAAAGCATTAAAGAGAACAACAGTCTGGGTGAGTCCACATGTCCTGGGTTTGCGTCATCTGCTCCACCGTCTGTTTGTGTATCTCTATCACTTCCTCAGCCTCCACTAATGATGCATGACAGCTTCCTGCATGATTTCCATGTAATTTCCTGTTGCTTGCTGCTCTTATCACTGAACTTCTATCTGTCTGTCACGGGAATCTGGGTGTCTTCTGTTTTCGTCTTGTTTATGGTAGCATGACATCCAGCCTTCGGGTTTCCATTTCCTCTGGTAGTTTATATCTTGCTGCAGGAACTGAAGCGTTCAAATAAGTCCTGAGAGTATTCAGAAAGTGTCCGTTTTTTCCATGTTTATAATCAGAAACATAAACACTGTGATAAAATGACCTAAATTTAAGTTTTCAAATATTAGGAAGGTTTATAATAATTAGTTTTAGGTGATGTTACTTATAGAAATACGTTGTTACACAGCAATATTACTGGGGGGTTAACAGGAAGTTAAAATAATTTATCAGGAATATATCCAGTGTTGAAAATCAGTGGAGAATATATTGGGCATGGTTGTCAGGCTCAGTTGCAGCCCTCTCCTTTTATACAGACCTATTATATGAAAAGTGGCTGCACATGAGCGCACCCTGCAGCATTATTGACTAACTCATAAGTCACCAGAAATGGGAGTTGTAGGACCAGCATCATTTATGCTTATTACAGTATGAAATATAGCAAATATTTCCAACTTTGTAAAGGTTGTTCTTATTATTCCAGTTATGACTTATTTGAATAAGTAAACACATATTAAAACTTTACACTGCATGTTAAAACAAATTAGGGGATTAAGGCACTGCACATTAGCTGCATCCATCATACAGTATGTGGGTTCTTGTGCAAAAAAACGTTGTGGTCATTTTCCAGAGATTTTTACGGTTCGCTTACCAATAAAGCAGCTAAGTTTTATAGTGTAACTACATATATCTCTACAATGATTCCAGCTGATGTAAGATGTTGCACTAGGCAACGGGAATAGAGGCGCGTTCAGAATTGAATGAGCAACTTGAGCAAAAAATGTTCTTTGTCTGTTTCGCAACTCTTCAGCTGTGATTCTTCTGATGCCATTAAGAAATGGAGGGGAAGCTTGATGACGCCCTTATATGGCAGCTTGAGCTGTTTGGTTTAACTTTGCTGTGAGATAGTGAGAGGAAGAAAAATGTCGTTTGTAGAAAAGTGAGCGAGATAGGATTATTATTATTATTATTTTTTTTATTTTTGGTACATTCTGAAACTGGGAGTTGAAATGTGAAAGTGGGTCTCTGACAAACAGGTAAAAAAATATGACGTGAAACTAAGGCGAGTAAATATTTTACCTAAAACAACCAAAGGTTTGCTGATGCTGTGGCCCTGGTGATCTAAACTTTAATTTATGTTAAATTAATAGTTTTTACCCCTCAGCCGTAGAAGGCTGATGAGGTATTGTTGTTACACTGCCTAAAGCTTTTTCTTTTTAATGATTGTTCAGGGGTACATCTTTTCCTTAGGGATTAATAAAGGATTCTGAAAGTCTTTTCAAGCCAAAGTGTTTCATGTGACCTTCAGTTTCAGCTGTGTGTGAAGCCCGTAGGATTTGTACAAAGCTTTATGTCCTTTAAATAGCTCGATGGTCGGTATATCCACTGGTGATAGTGATGGAAGTTTTTTTTTCTGGGGCTTTTTGGATAATCTGGGCTGTTTCTCTGGTTTCCAAACTGTCCACTGCTTTGTTTTTCTTCCTGTGGGGGGAAAAGTAGCCTTGGTCACTGATTGACTTCTGGTCATTGAATGCTTGACACTCTGAACATGAATGCTGCGGGTGACTGCCTCACTGCACACCTCGCCACAGTAATCACCTTATGACGGAACCCGCCATCATTTAGACTCTGTGCTCAACATTTCTGGTGACATTTCGACAAAATCGTCTATATCTGATCTGGTCACATGACAGATGTCGTCACTGTCCCCCACGGACCAGTAGAGGAGCTTGTCGAGGACAGAGATTCCAAACAGCAGATACGCGAGAGCCAGGAGGAAGACGATGATGAGGAGGATACAGACACCGATGATGGTGCAGTTGGGGAAGATGAAGATGCTGATGGTAGTTTAATTATCATAATAATAAACTATTTAATTTATATCTAGGCTTGTTTTTTTAAAAGGTTTTCCTTCACAGAATTAACAAAACCAAATGCTATTGTAATACAAATAATTAGAAAAACATTTAGGGAATAATTTGCTCTTGATATTATTTTCTTTTTTTGGTGGGGGGGGGGTTGTTCTCCAGGTTTTTTTGGTTTTTTTTTTATACATTGATCTTTATTTTAGGATACAGACAAACACTTTCTAATTTAAAAATGTATTTCATTTTTTTAACCACTCCTTTAAACCCTCTTAGTGAGGAACTAGTTTTGCCTAGTAATTTATAATGAGTGCAGAGTGACCTTAATCCCGTCCAAATCTGCCATCTCTAATTACTCCAACAAGGAGATCATGTGCTTGGTTTGGTTTCTGTCCTCTGGCAGGATTCAGTATTCAACTGAACACTGCTTTCTGGGCCAGTCGATCAACTTTTAACTGTCCTGCTTTTTCTGTTCATGGGTTTGCATACTGTGTAATGACACAATATCTCCTAAATTGGTACCCACAGTGGTCCAAAATGTGGTGGATTTTCTTTTTCCCTTTCCGTTTCTTTTTTAATGAAGTGGGTTAAGATCACAGACACTATCCAAGTTTTTTTTTTTTTTAAACAACAGCCAGTTAAACATTCCTGCTACATCATATTACGCATGACTATCTTCTGGTTTTCTTGAAATAACCTATTTCAGACCGTGATACTTTACTTAAAATGAGCATCATATTTTGCATATTTAAATAACTTGTTTGATCCGAGCCTTGAATTCAGTTTTTGTGTATTGTTAGAATTTTGGGAGTTAAACTGTATCATCTTTTTGATTTCACTTTGTTTTGGTAACATCTGTACTTAGATGCAAAAATGAGGTGGAATTATTATTATCATTATTATTTCTTCAAAATTCAAGCGGACTTGTGAAAACTGTTGGGCTGGTTAACTCGTTATTTCTTGTGCGTGATGTTGAAATGAAAACTTGCTGGGAGGCTTTATGTTTCCTGTCTGCTGTTTGCTTGTCCACATCTTGTCTGATGTGGTATCTGTCCAGAACCTTTGTGTTATAACTTTCTGTCTGAAGAGACCAATTTTGGCTTTAATTTCAGCTCCATCCTTTTATTGTGCATCTATCTGTCCTCATAGTTCTCTGTAAATCGTTCTTTCATGCATTCTACCTGCTTCTACCTGTTTGTCCGTCATGATTTCTGTCTTCGATTCTACCTGTCCGGTCTAAAACCGGGTTGGTGTGGAGAGCCAATTCTCCACTGGATCCTGTTCCGGATTTGTCGATCCTTAAGGACAATGCTTTTTGGATTCTGCTTATCTAATCCAGAACATTAAGTCTTATGGTCTGCTCTTCAGTGTGCTTATATTGGCTACACAGGCACAAGCACATGGGATGCAGTAAACCCACTTGTCTTGCAGTTCAATATAATATTGCAATAAAACCAGTTTAAAATCAGGACAAATTTTTTTTTAAAAAAAAATCAAAATCCAGAAATTCAAATGTATCGATCTGCGTTAAATCCATGATTCAATTTACCCTGGCATTGATAAGCAGAATCAATAAAATCTAAAAGAAATACCGGGCTCTGCTCTGATAGTCTTCATAGTAATGTCAGTTCTCTGTGTTTCTATCAGACAACTGTCATGTTAACAACAGCGGAGGAGACTCGACTAGAATCCAACAATTGATTGAGTGTCCGCGTGAGTACAAGCATCCATTTCTGCTGTACACCGAAAAACACTTTTTCCTCATTATTTCCTTTACTTTCTTC